AAAAAATGTAGGGGCACATTGTTGTTTTTCTTTTCTTTACGTTAGCTATAAGGTAGTTTTTATCAAAGCTTAAATCAAAATTGTCAACACAGGAAAGATCTTTAAACATATTACCTGAACAATAAATGATCTAGCAAGGTTTCTCTTAAAGACAGCCGACAAAGAAACAGATAAAAAATATGCAGATGGTTCTTTGAATAGCGACCGGTTTACAAAAAAGGGAAGGTCTGGAATGGATGATATTTGACTTATAAACAAGGGACTGAAAATTTTTGACAAATTTCTGAAAATAGTCTGACCAAGATGTTCGTTAGAAAAAAAAATCCGGATTCCAGATGATTTACTGTATATTCCCCATTTCTTAATTCCTAAAAATAATAGATAATTTAGCTATATTTTCCTGAACTTAACAACTTTTCCATTATTTTCCTGAGTTGTTTACGTTTAAATTATATCCTTTGCAAAGCAAATAATATCTGCAATAACTACAACGGAGTTGCGGGAAAAAAGAATGCTTTTAGTGAAAGTGTGGGGGGAGCAATAATTTTTGGTATATTCAACGGTAGGTCAGTCACACTTTTGCTCCCGTGCAATATCCTGAGATGCCTTTGCGATGTGACGATGAAATTTTGCGTGTATACCTACAACCCTAGAAAGAGTCCTCTTGAAGTGAAGGGTCAAGATCAATCATTCACATACATATTTCGTTTTGTGCTTAACACTTATTTCGTGTAAGAGCTTGAATAGAAGCCTTTCAGCTTTTTTTGCAAATGAACTTTACACAACAACTTCATATGGCATTTTGACGACACCTAATGATTTCTAATTTGAAAGGTAAAAGTCAGGGTCAAAATTTCATATGTTCTGTTAGTGAATTTAAAAAAAAATGTCATTTCCAAGCGATTTATAAAGACGATTTTGAGCTGTTCAGATAAAATTTTACATTATGTATCCCTATGGCTATATTTAACATCTATACATGTTAGGATTCTTGTGTGTTATTACTTTATTTATTTATGGAATATCTTATTAACTTAGCTAACTTCATATAATAAATATTAGTTTTAAGATTCATACAACAAATGAACTTGAACTGTATTCGTTGTCTTTATTTGTTTAGAAAATGTTGCATTAAACAAGCCTGCCTGGCAGCAGTATCCGTATTGCACTGTGAAATGGGGAGCAAATAAAGCTGTGGATGGACGATATTCAGATAGGTCAGCTGCAGGAGGTCAATGCACAATAAACAATAATTACATAATAAGAGCCGAGTGGAGAGTAGACCTGGGAAAAGTACTCAGTATACATCATATCAAGATATATTATAGGACGGATAACAGTGCATGGGGTAAACCACTTTAAGTTTTAAAAAATAACACCAAGTAGCTAGGATATAAGCTTAGAAATAAAAAAAAAATACATGCCATAAATTAAACATCGTTTTGGTGTGTTTGGTAAATATGTATAGAGGTGATGTTTATGTATTGTTTGTTGAAAATTTTATGCATTTTTTTTTTCAAAAAATGTATATTTGCTATTTTAGATAAATCCGTGCAGCGTACATGTAGATGTATATTAGTAAAATAAATATTCCGTCAAAAGCAAACTGAGCATTTTAAGAAGATCCATTAATATTTTCATTTAATTTCATTTCAATTTGTTATGTTTCTATTATGTTAAAGCTGATTTATATCAAGGTTAATTGCTTGATATATTAGCACAATTAAAAACAAGTAGAATTCACATATTGAAACATAACAACGAGTGAAAAAAATACCCACTTCATTTACAGAAGAAGTTGATGAAAGGACCTGTATTTTTAAATGGGTCGGACTTCTGATATACTTAAACAGTTGTAAGCAAATATTGTTTCAGACGAAAAGAATGGTTACGCGCCTCGATTCCTTGGCTTCTCAGTTTATGTTTCGAACACAACAGACAAAGATGACGGGGTCCTGTGCTTTAAGGACACAAATTACACAAGATTTACAATACCAGAGTCGATAACAATTGATTGCATTCTTAATGGACGATACGTCATCTACTACAATGAGAGACTCCCAGGAGTTACCTACCCTAATGGATATTCACAATACGCCCACAATGAACTCTGTGAAGTCCAAGTCTATGGTACATTCAAGAAAGATTTATGATCAATTAACATTTTAAAAACATTCTATAAAAGATCTTGAAATATTTTTTGATAGTCCAAAAAATCTTGCTTTTAAAGATAATTAAAACTTAATTAAAAATGATAAGACATCCAATTGACAATGGCATTTAGCAATTACGCTGCCAACTTCATACAACATTTTTCTGTTATATTGTTGATTATATGAATTTTAGACTTTGCTTAATGTTAAGGAGTTTGCATTCCTCGTATCGCAATCAATCGTTTTGAACAAATAGACGTTAGATTTTTCTCTCTTCTTGATAAGTAAAGTTCATTTAAGAGTTTTTGATTTAAAGGTGTAGTTATACACTACAGAAATCTTCGACGAATTAAAATAGCAAATATCTTTATTTTTCTATTCATCTACACTTACATTATCGAAAATTGATAAGACGATGTTTCTGAAATGTTGAAAAAGATAAATAATTGTTTTATACATTTTTAACGTTGAGATATTTCAACGTTTAAAATGTATAAAACAATTACTTATCTTAAAAATGTTCAAAATGTTTTTTGCTCCTTACATCGACTTATCTTCAGTACCGAACAAAAAAAGTCAGACATTAAACAATTAAATTTCTAATAATACTTTTATATGCAGGTTGCCAATCTAAAGGATTTTACGGTGAAAATTGCTCACTACCGTGTTCACAAAACTGTCAGGATAGTTATTGTAACATAGTGGATGGAACTTGTCTGGAGTGTGTTGGTGGTTACAAAGGTTCACGATGTGAAAAAAGTACGTATAAATTTCCGAGAGAGAGAGAAAGAGAGAAATGAACATATCTATTATTCGCTGACTGGTAATGCATGTTGAGAGACTCTCTCAAAGACTACTGTATTGACTAAATGTGGCCGGATGACTAATTGTGTAATCCATGCTATTAGAATTTTAATACAGCACAAGTCAAAAAGTTTTAAATATATATTCTGTTACAAAAGTTACAACAATTCACTGGACTTTGTAGTGTTCCTTGTTCACGCTCTCCTTCTCTCTGGATGGGACCCTCTCATTAAGAAGCTATATTAAGTATTAAAATACAAGTATTAACACAAATGGTTAACCAAACATTTAGCATAACATATAACATATAGGCTACAGCTTTTAACAAACAGCTTATAACATATAACAGTACTGCATTCTTACATACTCTTGCTTTTTATACGTATTTATTCAACATTACACATACTGAAGTAGAGCGATACTGAAATTTACAATAAATACGTATATGAAAGGTTACAGAAAAGGAACACAATACTTGAAAACCAGCCAACGTCTACTGCTAACCAGACTATCTATAGAAACGAAACCTTTACAATTGAACAATTACAACATTTACAGAATTTTAAACACAATTAAATGCATGTTATTGAACAAAGTTATACAAGACCTTAAAATTAACAAAACTAAATTAAAGAATGAATACATTTTGTACTCACCTCATAAGCTGAATGTTTGTATCAAATGTAATTGTACTTCGACAACTTATGTACACATTTATTCAAATTCTCTGGATATGAATGGGATTCACATAATCATGAATGACTCCTGCATGTTTTAACTTAACACGACAGGAAAAGAGAATGATTTACTAAACCATGTCCGTTCAATAGCCTTGAAGAATTGAGGCTCCATAAAGGATAAAATGAAAGGGGTCCCCTATACAGGATAACCGAGTATCATGCTAACGTTAATAAAAACATACGTATAGAGTAAATGCGACACTTAAGCTCAACAGAATATGGAAAGCTCAGTTAAGTCTGACTCGTTCTGTGAAGTCACATTTAAAGAATGAAAACTCTAAAAAAAAAATGCAAAATCGTAAATTTAACCTTTGGTTATTTCCCTTTTAATGTTAAATATAATGTCATATTTAAAACAAACAATTGTTCAAGAACATTCTTTTCACAAAACATTTGATAATAATATTGGAATCTATAAAAAAAATCTTCAGCTTCAATTCAAGACAGAAACAAATAAATCTGAAAAGTGAACACATGGTTTTAAGAAAGTTTATTGCTTGATGAAGTCCGAAGCAGTATACATGTATGCATGTCTGTCCGATTCATAGTTATTTTTCCCTATGTCTTTTTCAGACAGAAGTTTATACTATACATTCGATTTTGTTATCTTTCAACATATTTTTTTTTTCAATTTTTCTTTGACCAGAACGTAACTTTAACCAATTTTCCTTATAAGAAACTATAAAAGAATATTTTGTTTTTTGTTGTTGAAGAATGTGATGGGCAGCAGTATGGACAAAACTGTAATCAGTCATGTGGTTTATGTTTAAATTCCGACCAATGTCACTATATAAACGGGACATGTTTAAATGGGTGCGAAAAAGGATATCATGGCGAAAAGTGTAAAACAGGTTAGAATTTTCCCATATAAATGCATCTTAAATCAGAAAATGCATTTAAAGTATTTACATTGAATTTGATAACTTGAAAACAAAAAAAAGAAGAATTTTCCAATATCAAGTACATCTTAAAAAAGCAGTATGACTCATTCTTTCAAAAGACTTTGAACTCTGATCTATTTCCTTTCTTTTTAGAATGCTTACAGGGTCTGTATGGGTACAACTGTCAGAATATCTGTAATATACACTGTGGAGTCCCTGGTAGATGTAACAGAGTGACAGGACAATGTCAAGGTGGATGTCAGGCGGGATGGAGAGGCACAGGATGTGATGATAGTAACTCTTTTCTATATATATAAAGTGTGATAAAAGTATATTTTAGTGTAATAAACTGAAATAATGTAATATTACGTCAGTTTTCCTTAGGATAAATGTATACTAAAAAACATAATCATATTCCGTAGAATGTGACATTGGTTCATTTGGACAAAACTGTGCTCAGTCATGCGGAGTTTGTCTTCATAAAGAACAATGTCATCACATAAACGGGACATGCTTGAATGGCTGCCATAGAGGTTACCAAGGAGATGCCTGTACTCGGGGTAAAAAAGTTCTCAACAAGTACAAAAAAATTATTATCTGTCATATCTTAAAACAAGACAATCAGTATTAGGAGAAGTTTGTAGACATTAAATTGCAAAAGTAACTGCTAAGTAATTGTTTGTATGTTTATTTGTTGTTTAACGTCCCTCTCGAGAATGTTTCATTCATACTGAGACACAGCCGATGGAGAAATGCCGATATTGTCCTCTAATCGGCATCTAGGGTAATTGATTAGGTAGGGATATTTTTTGTGCTGCGACGCGGGACCTCCATGTCCCACAGTGGGATCATTCAAATCTGCGAATCAACTCCTTACGTCGCTGCTCTTAAGTATGCGTTCTTGCATGCTTTCACTTTTTAAAGTATAGAAAAATCCAATTAATGTTTATTTTTTTATGGAATCGTTAGTATATTTCTTTAAAAGTCTTAAAGTCTCTTTAAAAAATAAATATCAAAAGAAAAAATATTACATATCTTTTACCAATTTAGAATGCGCCTGGGGTTTTTATGGTTACAATTGTAATGAAACGTGCAGCTCAGTTTTTTTTAACAACACGTGCAACGCCATGACAGGAGCTTGTCCACTTGTGAGTAGAACTGATTCGATTTTAGACCGATATGCATTATAATCTTCTTTTTTTAAATTAAATCAATAAATGTGTTAAAATTTTTGTCAATTATATTTGTCAAAAAGTATATCTTATGAAATTAGCCATACATTTTTTTTACTTAGAAAATATTTTTCGTTGTGATATTTTAGAAATATGAAAAATGATCAATTTCATATTTTCAGAACACAGTCTACAGGTTCACTCCATAGACTTCGTTAAGAAAATAAGATAAAGAAAACAAAAAACAAGACAACTCTTAAAATTAACATAAAAGACACTTTTTAGTTCATTTATTTAAAGACAACAAGATACGTTAACCAAAACATAATAGTTTCAGAACTTACGTTTTATAATGTTAAATATATGAAAATATTTTATAGTCTTCAGATTTTTTAATCCCCAAATGTGAATTTTTTTTAGTTTAAAAAGTTAAGACAACTATTTATGCTCATTTATTTGCATGGTAAATGTTGTTCTAATAACTTTTCGTAGAAAAAAGGTTACATGTATTATTTGGCCATAATAACATCTGCTATAATATATTTTTGCGATTTTGAGTAATGCTACATGTACATATGTAATTAACTAAAATTTTAATTTCTTTCTTTAACTATTTTCACGAGTGACATACGGTGTACCTGAAATGTACAAAGAACAATATTCTTATCTTCCATATATGTAGGAAAACTGTAGTTCTTTTTCTTCTTGGTTTAATGGATATGTAATTGATTTTTTTTCATCTTTTTTTTATTCAACCAATTGAATCTGTTCAAACAAATTCAAATATTTGATTATGTGAAAGAAAACCAATCGAATCTGTTAAAACAAAAATTCAAATTTTCGATTATATTAAATAAAATTGATATTTCTCAATCCCCATGTGTTGGATGAATTAAAAAGAAATTTAGTTAATTTAAGGTGTCATTTGTTTCAATCATAATTCCAACAGCTTTTTAATGAGAAAAAAGAGTACGAATTTTACTTGAAAATCTGTTTCCCTAGGATTCGAACATGTATATGCTATTACACGGTTATTGGTTATCAATATCAGTTTATTTATTTTGAGATCTATTAAAAGAGAAATTTTGAATCAAAAAGGTTTATTTGTTTTGCTTCATATTTTTAACTCCTTTCAGGTGTCTGCTCCAGATCCGCCAGAAACAAACACCGCCCCTATCACAGGAATTGTTGTGGCAGTCATTGTTGTAATCCTTGCTGTTGGCATTCTATTTTTTGTTTTCAGAAGGTAATTGTACTACATATACTTACACCAAAATGAATCCAATGCACACTCTAGGTTAGCTTCCTGGGTTCTCTAAGGGTCCGCTTCGAGTCCTCTCTCAGAAATTTTAGGACAATTTTGCTTGCGCCTTGGCGTCAGGTCTGGGTTCCCTTTCCATAATCAATATCGGCATTCATGCCTGGAGCAAACCTCGCTATAATCTTTCCAAGAGTAAGCCTCAACTCTTGAATAGTCTAATACTGTAGTAGAAACGTGGAATCGATTATTGTTTGCAAAGATTGGTTAAAACTCCGGTGTTCTTTGGCTTCACTTTTTGTTAAGTTGTGTACGGTCCGTATCGTATTACATCTTCCTTAAAATAGTTTTGATTTATTAAATTTTTAATGCATCATTTTAATGATGATAAGTTGTAAAAAAAAAAAAAAAAATATTAAATTGAATTTAAATAACATAGACAAAATTATAAACCATTTTCCATATTACATAATAGTTTTGTATCAGCCCGAGATGCCAATGTCAGCCAGAATGCCAATGGCCCAAAGGCCGATATTGGTCGAGGGCTGATACAGGACGCGATGTGGAAAAGGGTAATATATATTATTATCTAGGTAATTTGAATAAATTCCAGTTCAATTATGTTTTATTATGTTTATTTTATACTAATTAAAAAAAAACTTACAGGAAACATTTAGCTGAGAAGAAAATAAGTAAATAATTATGTATGAACTTCTTACATGTAACTGTTTATTGTCTCATACGGTTTGAGTTTGTTTCTACTCCCATTTCAAATATGCCCGATCCGTAATATATAAATGATCTTTTCTTTTGTTAATTAGATAATTATCCTTACATTGAAAAACTTAAAATAAAACAAATATGTACCATCCAAAATATCTGTATGATCACAAGAACTGTTTTAAACGTTTAGGGGTGTGATATTTATCCGTATCCAATACGCAAATTCAAATCATCCCTAAAGGATACCCCTATAAGTAAGAGCCTCGGTTAACGCAGGGACGTAGCAACGGGGGGGGGGGGGGGCAGGGGGGGCAGGGGGGCCTGGCCCCCCACTTTTTTGGTTAACGCAGGGACGTAGCAACCGGGGGGGGGGGGGGCCTGGGGGGCCTGGCCCCCCACTTTTTTCCCCAAGATAACCTTTACTATAGTAAATGTTTATTGATAGGATGATTTCCCCCCCCCCACTTGATAACCCAAGTACAGTGATATCAAGGATTGTAGGGAAAAATTGGAAGTGATAGTAAGTTGGCTTTGAAAAAGTGGCCACTACACACACACGCCCTCCCAACGAAATAGGATTTTCGAGTTTGGGCAACTTTTAATTTTGGTTTTTTTTTTTTTGTTTTTGTTTTTGTTTTTTTGCTTGTCAACTTTCTCAGGTAAGAAAAAAAAATCTCTGGTTGGCCCCCCACTTTCAAAAACGATGCTACGTGCCTGTAACGTCCCTACGCTCCTTATATACCTCGGACTGTTACATCCAAAGGCCATTTTCTAACGAGCGCGTTCCGCCTGAGATTTTGGGTGGAACATATTATGCGTGAAATAAACTGTTAACAAGTAATTTTCAGGTACCTACTTGTTTGCACGGTGTATGAAAGTCACAGGAAATCATAAAATGCATTTTATTCAGTGTGCATTATTGTTCATTTATGAAAATTGTCATTTTTCCACTTTGTCACCAGAAGTACTTTCGATTTGACTTCACATTAATTTTGAGGATTGCTATTCAAAAAAACCCCGAAATTTTCGTTGCCTTAAACTAGTTTCGTTTCGTCAGATTTTTTGCATTCCATTCCTGAATTCTGAACAGACGGCTTGTTTTAATTTCTGATTTTAAAGATAATGGATTTATTGCTAATAGTTAGGTAGTGTTTTTTGCGTACGTTTTATCGTAAATAGTGAGTATTTTATTCTTTCGTGCCATTTGCTAATATATATATAAAGCCTTATTTTTTAAATGAAATATTTTATTTCCACTTGAGGTTTCAGCGGTGAGAATTTTTATAATGGATGCTAGAGGTTACGCGGCGCCAAGACAAAAGAATCTCGCCGTGAACCTCTAGCTTGCTGGTGTACCCAAAAGGGCTGATACGGCTTTTGATACGTTAGGCATTTTGCATATGCAAAAATTTTGTATTCATTACCAGGTATGAAATGAATGTAGTTATATGAATATCTTTTTATTAATTCAGAAAAAGGACAAGTAGCACAAGCAAAGAACAAAATCATTTAGAGAGGCGAGGTGAACATTTGTCAGTGGGAAATACGACACCTAATAAGGATATCCATGAAAAGATAAAGGAGAATGGGTTGAACCAAGCACTGGGACCCAGGACAAAAATATCTGACAATGGTGAATATCAAGAATTGGGACCAAAGACAGAAATATCTGACAATGGTGGATATCAAGAATTAGCACCCAGGAAAGAGGTGTCTGATAATGGTGACTATCAGGAACTCGGTCCACGGATAGATACCTATGCTAAATCTAATGACAACACTGGATACCTAGAAATTGGTCAAATAGGTCAAACCTCTCCTTATGAAAACTAACATTTATCTGGATCTGAGAAATTAGAAACCATCATTTTAGGGGTTTAATTGAATTTTATATATTACAAACCATTCATTCTTGCACAGTAGAATTTAGAATTAGTGAAGCATACTTCGAAGTGTGAATTTCTAATCGATACTACTCTTCGTAATGCGTATATTTTTTTCAAAGAGATACAGTGATTGAAATGACAAGAAAACTGTCTTGAAGGGAGACTGTTATTGTACAGTTATGTCAAGTTTCAGGATAATTGATGGGTGCTTTAAAATCTACACAAGTGCATTTGTTTGTTTGTCTTTTATATCATTCAATACACTTCCTGTTCTATATTTTTATAAGATCAGCATGACTAATGAATAAAAAGTTTTTTTAATGATTGCGTCTGTCTTGAAAATACGATATTCAATATTTTGAGGTTCAATGTAGAGGGTTTTTTTTTCAGGAATGGAATAAAAATATTAGGTATTTTCATGAATGCAAAGCAGGAGACAAATTAAAAGAACCAAAGGTTTAGGTTGGCATACATTTTATATTTAATTGTAAGGCATTGAATATTCTAATATATTATTCACTTTAATTTCAGAGATAACGATGCATTTTTTTAAAATATATTTTCACATTTAAATGCATTCCATGATATATATATCCATTGAAATGTATATGTAACCTGTGCAGACACTGTAAAACCTCTGTCATAAAGATTTTACATCGTACTTCTCTAGGATTTTATTTATTTAGCTATCAATATGATTAAAGATTTATTGAAATGGTTTTATGTATACCTTGCCTTGCTTTTAATAAAACTAGATGGATGGAAAAAGGGATTAGAAACACAGAAAACTGTTGCTTGGAATCCATCGTGTGTGTCAGGCTTATTTATGTAATAAATAAGATTGATTGATTGTTTATTGTTTTACGTCCTTCTCGAGAGTTTTTTTTTTCATTTATATTGAGACGCCACCACTTGGTGATGAAGAACTGTCAATTTTGTCCCATACTTGGTGCTCCGGGCCACGGATCAGGGAAGGATCTTTTTCATGCAAGACACCTACTGTGACACTGGACCTCGGTTTACATGTTCACATCCAAAAGACCGGTCTCCATGTCCCACTGATCGAGGGAGTAGATCCTGCAATTTAAGGAAAAACTGTATGACAACAGTAATTTACAAAAAAATTCCTTAAAAAGTATCAATTGTAAGCCAGGCTGTCATTTTTGATATAAAATAGGCATTTAATACCATTAAATATAAGGAGATAACGAACAATATTTAAGTTCAGAAATCCATTAAACAATACCACATAGGAGCAGAGCAAAAACGGACTTCCGATACGTCAGGGGCTGGATCAGGTGCACATGAGAATTTATCATCACATCCCGCAAATTAATGGAATAATTATTGCCAATTCAATGTGTTTGAAATGGACTAACAATTATGAAAAATCATTCAGTATTTGATTAAATATTGAATTTGTAATTACTGATAAGGTCATTGTGTCTTCCATAAAATGTACGAAATCATGCTTTAAAACAAGACTGCTGGTATTCCTTTTACATCAACTTGATTGGCAGTATTTTACCTGGATTTAGAAATTTTTCTTACGTAAAAAATGCCTTTGAGTATTTGAGATTTGTAAAATATGAATGCATATCCTCTTCAACTTCTAATTTTATAGATAAAATCTTTACAACACAAACTAAAACTAAAACTGGAATTTATAGACCATTAACTTGGATATTTTGTGGATACAGAAGCAGAAAAATCTAGGATCTGCAAAAACAACAGAAGAGGGACCAGGTACAACGAAGGAAAAAGCATCCCCTGTCGATCGATCACAATAATCATTTGCTCACTAACATGGATTAGTAACGGAAAAATCAGTGTAATACCTATGTTAACCTGTAAATACTAATGAAGTTGTCAGACAGAAATCGATATAATTCTGAATTATATTTGCTGATTAGTAAATTAAAGTCATTGTTATAACCATGAAAATTGTAAAACAATGATTTTCACAGTACTTTTGACGTCTATGCTTCATCAACTTTTTTGGTTTATTACTTATACCCTTTTTAAATCAAATGTACCGTTTTGTGCTCATGTGTTTTGGATCAACTGGGGAAAATAAACTCCCTATGTTACTTTTGATCTTAAGTTAATTAATTATTCATTTTGTTTGTAAATACATATATCATATCATAAATTATATAGTTCAGCGCATAGAAACTATATGTGATTTTACGCTTTATAAATTAATAAAATAATAATAATAATAATATCTAATTTCTTAAGTTTGTAAACAATTAAACAACACATCTATTTTTTTCCCTCAGTGTATTCATACGCCAATTATATACATGCAGGTTGACAACTGCTCTTTTAGAAATATATCAAAAGAGAAATATACTTGCCACAGGAATGAACAAGAAATGTTTAAGATGGACTTTTTTAGCGTTTTTCATAGAGAGAAGAAATGGAAATAGAAATACACAAAAAAATCTTTTAAACCATGTTTCTCGATGCATGTTTTTGTGCAATTTGTTAAAGAAAGCTGTTGTTTTTGATATGTCGACCTTTTTTTTTTGAATTATCAATGTTGCTTTTTATTCATATATCGATACAATACATCTTGAAGAGCTTAAAATAAAAAAAAAGTACCGCACACATCTGTTATATATTTTGATTCCCTTATTTTCACTCGATCTTAAATAGTTACTGAAACAGCTTATTGCAATAATTACGAATGCCCAGTCACACGACTACGATTATTGTATGAAATAGTAAAATAAATAATTTTAAAATGAATTATACCAACCTAGAAACTTCAGCAATGTAAAGTAAAGAAAACACATTGACTTGGTGTAGGATTATCCAAAATGTTTTGCCATTAATTATGTAAAAAAATTTTTCATGTAAATTCACACCAACAATTTAATCGTTAAGACGTTAACAATTTTCATATTAGTAATTATCATTCGGGCTCCGAGATCTTGAAACATTCATTTTACTTTTTCCAAATTAAACACAATATATAAAGGTTTTATTTTTTAGTTAGATGTTAATTATTCTAGGACCATGTGGGGAAGTGGGGGAAAAGGTTAAATTCCTGAATATTTAAACAGAAAAAAAAAACTCTCAAAGCCAAGTAAATTAACTGTAGGGGAAAATTCGTTAAATATAAAACTGAAATGCAAGTCAAGTAAGAATTCATTTATATTGCGTTTCACTTTATTAAATGTTTCTTATTCTTTGTTTGCGCCATTGTTTTATGGTAACTGATATTTGATTTGTAATTTTGTGATTATGAATTAAAAGGGAATGCACTTTTTCGTTAGCTTTTGGATTTTATGTGCCATTTTGTAGACTAATTTCTCAGAAAAATAGAGCAAAAAGCTTCATTTTAATACTTCTTAAATGAGTAAATAGATAAACAAGAATGATTTGAAAAGAGTATTTTATTGATTTAAAAAAATATTATACTAATAGCTTGCGTAGATTTAAATCGAATTACCAAGTACTGGACATAAGGAAATAAATGTCAAACGACTGTGAAAACAGTTTTCTTCCACAAGGAATCAAATAAATTGAAACTGCAATAACATTTTATGTCTAATCCTCCCAAGCGGGATGAAACATCAGGTTCAGATTCTTCCTTGCCTTTTTAAAGTATTATTGACAGGATATTATGTTTCAGCTTATGGTAAGTGAAAAAAATACAATATTCAAAGATTCTCCCTTTCCATTTTATCCCTCTCTCTTAAAAAGACAAAAGACTCTCCTACTCAAGCTAAGTCCTCGACTACTCGAAAAATAACCCTCCATTAGATGTTTTACAATCATTTCATCATAACCTAAATTATGTGACCCCTTGAATTATTTTAGCATCCCAAAGTTGTGACGTTAAAATGGGTTTTGCTTTAGCGTTATGATATAATATAAAACAGAGTCCTACAGATACAAAAAATTGTAAGACATTGATTGTAAAATATTGAGCATGGGAGAAAAAGAATGAATAGTAGTTGCATATGATTTATATCAAATGCTTACGAATTCCTTACAAAAATAGAATCAAGGTTGGGACAAATGCAAGGGAGAGACAATGTAGATAATGGAAGTTTTCCATTTTCACTGTTGGGGTTTCGTCATATCAGTTTCAATAACTAACGAATTATTAGACCAAATCAAATGAGGTTTTAGTTACATATTCTCTAAAGATGATTTTAAAAGTTACATAGATATATTGAAAACATAAAAATACTCATTAATTTAATTCACCTCAAAGACTACCTTGCGTTTCTTTTACCTTTCAGTTTATATTTAAAAACGACTGATAAAGACAAACGGGGTATATTATCGATACAAAGTAGTGCATATTAGACTACCCGAAATTTAAAAAGAAAAAAAAAAAAATGAAAAATAAAGGGGGCAGTCGGAAACAAGTGTTTTTGTATTTAAAAAGCTGTACTTTTTCATATCAAGAATACAACTTTGAAAACATAGTTCGAGTACTTAAATGGTTGTTATAACAGTTTGTCAATTTGCATCTGATCAACTTTTTGTAATGTAAATTGATTCGAAGGATGTCAATTTCATTATATTACTTTAAGTGACAGCGTTCCGAAATTTTTTTAGCTACAGGCGATAATCTAGATTCTTTTCAATATGTGGCAAATATTAACGATGACGAGGACAGACAGTAATTTAACCCTTTAAGCATTTAAACTCAGAAGTTCTTTGAACCAATAAAAATGGAGCAGAACAAAGACAAACTCCCCAATACATCAGAAGCGGGATCAGGTACCATAAAGGAGAGAACATCCCCTTCAGACTTGTTACACCATTGTTTGCCCATTTTATAGTCGGGAAAATCCAGAGAAATCCTTAATCAGTACAGCATGTTAATAATGATCTGATAATTCGTGCATATATAAAGCAGGTCATTAATCATTTGACTTGCTGATAGGTTGAATTGACTCATAATGTCAATGTATCGAAAAACAAACTATAAATTGTCAGATTTCACCAACATTTTGTTTGGATGATAATTTAAATAACCCTTACTTGAATAGATCAATAGGTAAAATTGGAGTTTTTTAAATTAAAATATTTTTGAATATAATAATTTCATTTAAAGAATGATGTTAATTTTCCGAAACATTGTGGAACGAAAATGAAAATAATCAGCAGGGATCACATATGTTACCAAACAAAAACAAAAACATAAAAAATATAAGCAAATTATTAAAAAAAAAATAGATTTAATCTTTTTTTTTTTTTCTTTTAGATTTTATCAGCTCTAAATCCCATTTCTTATTTATAAGTGTGAATACTTTTCCTTTCTAGCAATTCTGAAATCATTTTCTCCTCCCGAATGAAAACATAATCAATGCTGCTTAATAAAGAGAACCAGACACACTTTATAGAACTGAAAAAAAAAATCAAATAAATTTATTTGATTGATTGATTGTTTATTGTTTATTGTCCCTCTTGAGAATTTTTCACTCATATGGAGACGTCACCGTATGCCGGTGAAGGACTTCAAATTTTGACCTATACTCGGCACTCAGGGTCATTGAGCAGTGAGGGTTCTTTATCATGCCAGCGCCTACCGTGACACGGGACCTACGTTTTTAAGGTCATATCCGAAAAACCCGTGACCCCCACTTCAAGTGCCGACCGTTTAGCGGAGCAGTCACTACCTTTGTTTACGTCTTAGGTTTGACGTGGTGCTGCGAACGAGAATCAAACCCGGGCCTCCCGATCACGAAACGAACGCTCTACCACTAGGCTACAGTGAGCGGTAACTTATTCCAATAAACATTCTGAACATCTCTTAACATCACAACCAAAAAATTAAAACTCCAGGTTAAACTCCTATGCTATTTTTATTAAAATAGTTGAGATTTATTTATTATCCAAACATTTAACTATTATTTCTTTTACATAGTAGTGATATAGTTAATATTTCATCTTTTAAAATTATTTTATATAGCTACATGATAAGGATAAGTCTTTAAGCAATCAAAGTTTTAGACTTGTTTTCGATATCTTAATTTCGATATAGAAAAGATTTGTATAGTATTACATTTGCGACAAAACTTTTTAGAAACATTTTGAAAATATTTCAAAGAAATATCATTTGAACATTTTTATTCATTTTTTCCCAAAATACATACTTTAAACAACACATTGCTAATTATATTATTCTATTTACAGACAACCTTGCTTTAGGTAAGAGTGCTTCACAAGAGTATCCGTTTTTTCCGGATGATGAGTTTTCGTGGGGAGCGGATAAGGCCGTGGACGGATTGTTTGCAAACCGGTCGGCTGGTGGAGGGCAATGTACAATATCTGACAGTAAAAAACTTAATGCGACCTGGTGGGTGGATCTAGGAGGCGTGTTTAGGATACACCATATAACTATATACTACAGAACGGACAATTTCGAGTGGAGTATGGACGATTTTTTTTTCAGAAGTAATTCAGAAAAAGGATAATATTGCGAAGACGAAAATTGATACCAGAGAGTATCTGGACTGTCTGCTATTCGTATTCAAAGGCGACTCTGAAACCTCGGAAAAAATTGTCCAGAAAATACAGTCTTTACTTTGTATCTTATTTTTTCTCAAATATACACAGAAAATTAATATTAAAAACACTTTCTTCGATATCTCAACTTTATATTTATCGACATATATATTGAAAAGCTTTCAAATTAGATTATAATTATTCCATGCAAAAAAACTTACGAATAATTCTTTGCATTATTAAATTCTATGACGGGGAAATGCCAGACAAAAAAGAATTAATTATAAGGTATTAGGTAATTAATAGGTTATATTTATAAAGAGGTAAAAGGCGGCTTTGTTATTGACCTCAATTGTTTTCCTTCCTTTTCGTGGTAATCAATTTCCCGTCCAGCATGTCATTTTGATTTTCTAGCATTAATTATAAAATCGTTCACTTTTTTGCTTACGCAGAATAATGTAATTCTTGAAAACATAATATAATGGCACTATATAATCACTTATCAGTTAAATATAGTGAGGTTTAGATATATTTTCTCACTTAAACCGAGTTTATTTTTACTTTTCTTAGAAGTACTCACGACTAACTTTTAAGCAAAAATAAACTAGTTTTTAAATGTTTTCTCTTCGTTTATAGTTTCGGGTAAAACACTCACCACGATCATGTGTATAATTTACACATGCCTTTAAGATATTGTGATGGTTTATCATAGTTAAAAAAAGCACAATGAACAAGCTGTGGATTTATTTTTATAATTCATGTAGATCGGTAGGGAAAGTTGTTCAGTATATTCACTTCCCATGTTTAAGCATTAAAAATTGCAAGTTAAATACCTAGTTTACAAGGAAGTTCTTTTTCGAGTCTTTTTTTTTTCTTTCTGTTTTTTTTAAATGTCAAAACAAGTGTCAAAACAAAAAGGGGTATATCAAAAGTTTATGTTCCCCTCACCTTAATAATGGTCTGACATGATATTAAATGATAAGAAGATTACCTTAAAGCTCTATTTACGATACCAGACATACTTTCTTATGGATTCTGTGAGTACAACACTCTCTATGAACGTACCATTTGCCTCAATAATCAATATATAATAGATGATTTTATTTCTTAGACTCGACCAATCCATATACAGGACGGTTTCTAGGATTTTCGGTCTACGTTTCGAATACCACCAACAAGGACGAGGGGATCCTTTGTTTCAAAGACATACATTACGACAACGACACAATACCAAGTGTTACTACTATAGAATGTGTAAAGTACGGGCGATACGTAATCTATTACAATGAGAGAATCCCAGGAGTTATCTACCCTGAGGGATATTCTAAGTACGCATATAACGAGCTCTGTGAACTTGAAGTTTACGGTAAGAGAACACACTAAATAAATTATATTTCACTTTTGTCAAATCATAAGGCACCACCCTATCTTGCATTCTTTATTTGTTAATCTCACCCTGTGAATAATTATACTTTAAAACGATCTTTTAAACAAACGATATGTATTCAAAGTATTAAAATTGATGGTGAATCATAACGCTTCATAAGTATTGATTTTTCTTTTAAACAAGGTTGCAATATACCCAATGTCTATGGAGAAAACTGCATGTTACCATGTCCACAAAATTGCCATGAGAGATTTTGTAACATTGTGGATGGGACGTGCCTTGGGTGTGTTACTGGATACAAAGGACCACGATGTGAAGAACGTATGTATTCATATAATACAGTTTCGAATATTTTTGGATAGAAAAAAAAGAGAAGATAAAGAGCACTCAGCTTTGCTCTTTGGTCACCTTTATGTATTTTCTGACAACAACTAAATATCCTTAAGTATCCATGTTAAGTAACTAAATGTATAAATTAAAGAAAGAAATCGTAGATTTTTTCTTGTACCTAAAAAACATATTGCCATGTGATGTATAAATGAAAAAAGTATTTTTTTCTTCGTTCGTTGATTAACACTCATTTATAAAGAGGTAGAGCCACATTATGCATAAAATGGCCATGTCCTTATTTCAATTTATAAACGTTCACCCTCTTTATCATTTCATATCTCAAAAGAAAGTAGAGGCTTAGTGCTTTCATTTCCTATATTACATTTTCTTTTAAGAATCTAAGTATTGCAAAACAGGTTTTGAAAAAATGCAATGTTCTTGGATTTTGCAGAAAACATGCGTATTTGACTACCTTCAGCAAAGAATAAAAAAATGATCACAGCCTACGATCCAAAAATTAAAACATAATTGAAATCTTAAGAAATAGATCTTTCATAATGTTGTTGCACATTTTGGATCAGAGTTTGTGCTCAATATGAAATATTGAAAAATTGCTTCAATTTCAGGCCATTTTTAAACAAATTTTCATAATATGGGGGAGATCTCGCATTTTGTGAAGTCATAGTGCATTGACAAGCGGAAAAATTACGTCATGTTTTATTGATACATGGTCACAAACAGTCTATGTGATAAATACTGTGTTTTCAACCTTAACTGAACAGTTGTGATTTTTCAGAAATTCACAGGGTCAAATAAACCTCTAGGTGGCTTTTGCTCTTTACTGTCCTTTCTTAGAAAATGCGTTTCTTTAGGTTGATTTTACAGACTTTTTTTAATATCATTCTCAAATGAAAAAAATTCACCCAGGGATTGGAGCAGCTAGTTTACGCTTTTTCTTTAATAAATTGCTTTGTGGTTTATAAAGGGTAAACTGCCCAAATCCAGGTTATACAGTATAATTCGGGTTGCTATTTAATCCATTCCTTATTTGTTTAATAACAATAACTATTAAATCTTGTAGAATGTGATGGTTGGTTCTACGGTACACACTGCAACCAGTCCTGTGGATGGTGCTTGAATTTCGATCAATGTCATCATATTGACGGGACGTGCTTCGAGGGATGTGAGATAGGATTTCAAGGGGATAAATGTACGGAAGGTATGTGTTATCTTGATGTCAGCCATGACTTATACATGTACCAAATATCTTATTTATTGTTATTATAAGAAATGATCGCATGGATCGAGTATCTTTGATTAAATAATAGATGTAAATAATATGAGATATTGATTCAATAATTTCAATTGTTTATAAAAGAAATGTTGGGGGGGGGGGGGGTGAGATTTTGATGGTTTAATAAGTAAACATCATTTTGTGAATCAATGTTATGTATTTTTTCAACTCTTTCTTACTTCTAGAATGTCCCATCGGACGGTATGGTTACAATTGCCAGGACAAATGTAACATCAAATGTGGAGTCCCTGGTAGATGTAACAGAGTAACAGGACAATGTCAAAGGGGATGTCAGGAGGGATGGAAAGGAATTAGATGTGACAAAAGTAAATAAATGAACTTTGTTATTTACACCTTTAACAAATTTAGACTCATATAATTAAATACCAATATTTACATTTGCAAATGTTTTCCTTTATATAACACTATTGAAAGCAAGCGTTTTTATAACTGTATAAATACAGGTACGGGGTCAAGAGGTCATAGATGTTCGTATGGATAAACGTTCGACGTAATTTATCCGTGACGTCATAAAGGGTCGACGCGCGTTCAGTGGATTAC